AGGGGGACCAGAAACCCCTGCCCCCAGAACAGCAGAGCAGCCCTGGGTCCCTGGAACAGTGTCCCTGAGGTTGGACCCATATTCTCCTGCTGGACCTCTAGATAGTGACCCTAGAGGGAGGGTCTCCAGAGAGGAGAAAGAAAGGAGGGAAGTTCACCAAAAGGAGGGCAGGGAGAGCACCAACAGGAAAGGAAAGAAGGGACGGGGGGAATGCCACTAACACAGTGGTTTCTACACGCACGTGCAGACACACACCGTCTGCCTAAGAGGTAACTAAACAAAAGCAAGTTTTTCCATGAAACCACTGGCACTGGGTATCCAACAGTGGACGAGTTCCTGGAATGTTCTTTGGTTTCCTCCTTTGTCTTTATTTTTTCTTTTAATTGATTTTGCGCTAGAAGGTTGGAAGATGATGAAAGAAATAGTAACTACTAGGTGGGAGGGGTTGAGAAAACAGAAGCGGTCAAACAAGTGGCTGGTAAAAAGGTACAGATACCATTTTGTGGTTTCTTCTCCCTTTTAATCTAATGCACGTTTATCTTCACCCAGGAGGAAGCAGCAGTTGCCAAGGGCCTCCCGAACACCGAGGAGAGCAAATGGAGGCTGACTGCGCTGCCAACTTTGTGCGTACTCTCATTTAATCCACCTAACAACGTGAGGGAGATGTTATGGCCCCTGCTTTACGGAAAAGGAAACTGAGACTCAGGGTATTCACTGGCTCCCCTAATGTCACAAGACAAAGCAGTCGGTCAGGGTTTCAATTCCAGATCTGTCCCTCCGAGGCCTGGGTGCCTTCCCGTGCTCCGTACTGCTTCCCCGCCTGCTCTGTTCGCTGCCTCCGTCCCCCACAGCGAACTCACAGGTGTGTCCCTGACTGGAGAAGGTTAGGAAACACTGCTCTGGCTAGTCTCCAGGGGTTCACACAGCTCCTTCCTCTCCCACCCCCATTACGGCACCAACCGTGCTGGTTCCCCTGCAGGCCTTTGTCATTCGTCCTCTGGCCTACCTGCTCCCCTGCACCCTATCCCAAGCACCCCAGGACCTCAGCTTCCTAAATCTCAGCCACCAACAGTATTTCACAAGGACACGCACCAACCTTGAAAGGCAAGGTACCCTGAGGCAAGGAAAGTTATTGTTGATGAGCAGCATGAGAGCGCAGCGCCACCTCGTGGTGCCGGGGCCCATGGTCTCGGGCAGTGACATTTTCAGACCATCAATATCTCATTATTAACCATAATCACAACCTGATGTTTACTTTTGGAGGAATGTTCAGCAGCAAAGGATGCACATGCACTTTTCTGCGTGTTCCAGAGGCCTGCGATCCTAAATGCCACGGTGACTATTAAACAGTGTCCTGCCCATGAGCAAACAGGAGGCAGCAAAGATTGACTGTGTATCTTTTTCATCTAAGCTGCTCACCAAAAACAAAGCATCCGTTGAAGCCACTGACCTTTCACTAACTGCTGGAAGGAAAATGCTTGATAAATAATAAATAGAACCATCTTTTAATTAAAAGAACTGAACTAGAAGGTCAGGTGACTGACATTTAAGTTCCAGTCCAAGAAAAGCATCAATCGCGGGTAAAACTATACCTGAAATGTATCTTATTGTCAGCTAGCATTCAACAAAAATCCCCTCTGTCATCTGTCCGGGTGGGGGCGGTGGCTACATTTTGTAGGGGACGTAACACTTAACATCTTGCCTCCCTCGCCTCCCCCAGCAACGTTGTCATTGTCAGGGAGGCAGTACCCATTTGTCAGGCTCAGCATCTCCACAGGGACTTCTCCAGTGCTGGACTCACCCAGTTAGAGACCTGCACACCGCACTAAGCTCTACCCTAGGAGTGACATGGAAGCCAGTCCCTGTGTTTTCCAGGCCTCCACCAGCCAAGTTGCTCACTGAACCTACTCAGGCATCCACCTCACCAAGCACCGTCAAAGGGCCAAAGCACATGACTAACCTAGTCTGTCAGTCCTTTCACCTTTTGACTGTTCTGGAATACAGCTCAGGAACACAGAGACCAGGAACATGTAACAACCTTGCTCCCCCTGACACGGCTCACCTTTCCTTGTTCCTAGCTTCTCAGCCCTCTGCTGAGGCAGTGCTGCCATGCTTTCTCTATCAGAGTCATATCATGTCATATGTCCTGGTGCCCGTGGAGCCAGGAAAACTGCCAGCCCAGTTCTGGGTCAGGCTTAGTCATAGCTGAAAGGCTAAAGGAATGAGGAGGCTCACAGCTTAACTGTGCCTTGTCTGGATTCCCAAGAGCAGAGGCAGGCACCAATGCTAGCCCTGGAGAAAATCTTATCCTACTTGAATGACTTTGTTTTAAAAAAGCATCTGTTGAACATTTTTAAGTGGTAAGCCATCGTTTATTTAGAGAAGGGTAAGACTTTAACAAAACCAGGAATCCTTTGGAGGCATAGTTTTTCTGTAACACCACATTGATTATCAGAGAACATGGCGCTAAGTGGTATACAAAATTACACACACAAAAAAAATTGGGCTTACCTTTTTAAGGACAAATGATCAAGAAAACCAAAGAACTCTATGAAACCTGGCAACTCTAGAACCACTTAAATAAGCCTCACTATTTAGATGCTGAAAGATGTGGGACCTGTTCTCCTTGCTGACTTCCTCCTGTCCTTTCACTGACAGCATTCACCTGGCTCAGCCCCACCCTGTGTCTCTCTACATCCCCCTTGGAGAGCCCACTCATTCTCCTGGCGCCAACCCTTACCTCTGTGCTAGATATTTTCTCCCCATCTCCCAGACACCTACTCACCTCTCTGCCTGCCACATGGCCACCACACCATCTCCTGTTACTCAGTATGTGAGAACTCAGGTCTCTTCCCCACCTTGCTGCCTGTGATGTTGCTATTCTCCCGGTCACCCAGGTTTATAACCTGGGAATGTCTGCCTCCAATTGGAAAGGCCACAAAGAGACCAATGTCTGGTATGTCTCCTCTTCCCTCCCTCCCTGAACCCCATTCTTTATAGCACACCTGGGTGAATTGTCCTTCAACCTAACACTGCTTGAAAGACCCTACTTTACTTCCCTGCTCAGACTTTTATACCCAACTGAACTGTGTAGTTACTGAGGCCACCATGATTTCATCCCATCCTATCTGTTCAAACCTGTCTTCTCCTGTTCCTCAAAAGAGTAATGAGCAGCTGACAAGTGAGCTTTGCTCTCATGATCTCAGTTAATTCTCACCATGCTAACTGGAAGCCAAAAGGGGAAATGTTATCCCTATTTTGTAGTCTGAGAGACTGTCACACCAGTAAAAACTGCAGTAACCCGAACGAGAACCCAGAGCTTCAGACTTGTCTTGTGCAAATGTCACTGTAACCTGGACACATGCCTTCCTCAGCTGAAGCTGAGGAAACCCACGTGGAGGGCCCACTCCTACAAATAATGCTTCAGGGGATCCAAGAACTTCTGCCCTTGTCTACACTCTGAGTAGGGGAAGAATAGTTACCTTTGGAATGGATGACCAGGCTAAGTCAGGCAGGAGGACAGTGGACCAGCATGCCAAGCAGTGAAGTGCACATGAGAGCAGTCTGCAAGGGCTCAGCAAGGGACCTGAGACTTGAGTTGAATATTAGGTGAAGCTTCTGAGTGGAAACACCATTGAAAAGGGAACTGAAGGTGTCTAAGGACAGTGGTGGCTGGGAAGGCACTCCTAGCAGAAAAACAGCACACACACTTCAAATCCTACTCACCCTTCAAGGCTCCTGGCACACTTTTATATAATTTATAAGGATTCCTCTTCATTTTATCATTTGGAAGATCACTTTTATCTTCCCAACTAGATTTTAAGCAACTTACAGGGAAGAATGAGGTCACCCCTCCATCCTCTCCACACTAGGGAACTGATGATGCATTTTGCCCACACCAACTCCGGGAAGAATTATGAATTCCCCAGTAAACCTCACACATTTCACTATGTTTTCATCACTGAGATTCAACCTAAAGAAGATTTCTAAGGCCTGGTCTCCCTTCTTCCAGGCTTAGGCCTGCTGCATGCGAGTCCCAGTGTGGTTTAATAGTCAGTGTACTGGTGAGGGTGTAAGGAACAGGACTTCTCACACATCGCTGGTAGGATATAACTTAGCAGTTTCTATGGAGGATAATAACCAAACTGAAGACGAGTTACCATTGCTAGGAACACCCCCCACAGCTACTAGCCAATCTGCAGCACAAGAAAATGTAGAAATAACATACTTTGGTTAATCGGACACTGATTAAATCACTACGTATCCATACAGGATCTCTGAGACATCTTAAGTGCAAAAAAAGGGTATAGGACAGTATGCAGTGCCCGCCATGTATATACCCAAAACATTTCTGGAATGGAAATGATGACAGTGGTGGCCTTCGGGAAGGGAAAATGGGTGGCTGAGGGATAGGGGTGGGAGACTGCCTCTTCACCCTTAATTTTAAGCCACGTACATGTAAAATTTAAAGAATTATGCAATAAATAACTTTTTTTTAAATGAGTTCATCACTAGAGCAAAGAAACTGCCTTTTAAACCCAGAAACATAAGGGTTGGAGTAAAAAATGACCCAAATTGGTCCTCTGAGAACAGAACCATCCCCCCCACCTCTTTAAGCCCACCTGCAGAAGCCTGGCCCAGAATTTGGCACCCAATGGTTGCATAATGTTGCCAATTAATGAAATTTACTTCCCCAGCTAAAAGTAAAGCATTCCCCAAACAAGAGGAATTGCAAAACAGTGAGAAAGGTGGGCAGGCAGAAGCAGCATGGCTGAGAACTGCTTTGGCCTCGTGTACTCATTTGCCTTCCATTAACTGAGCACCCACATACACAGAGTTGTACAGGCTGAAGTGTGGGCCCTGCCCTTTGCATGAGACAGACGAGACTGCACAAGAAGGTCAACAGGGCAGAAAAGCTACATGGGGTTTAAAATAAGGAATTTCTGAAGGAGCTTATTACTCATAGCTGAAAATCCTGGCTTGATCATAAATACAAAGGCTACAATTTCAAAGGGATATTTATTTAACACAAGCTATGAAGAAAGCAGAACAGTTCAAGGACTTATATGCACACCTTGAAACCAGGGAGGCAGGTAGATGCTGGTGGAGAGCCATCCACATTAGCTGGCCCCCGCTCATGGCAATCCAGTTACCTACAGAGATGTCATCTGAACCCAGTCTTTAACTGGATGTAATCATTCATTCATTCATTCATTCAGTAAGTAAATCTTTACTGAGCAGCCTACTATGTTCAGGCCTAAGCTAATTGTCTCCAGCACATTCAACCCATCAAATTAAAGTTGTAGTTTTGGCCTTTGTCTTACCATCAATGATAGGTTCTCATTCTTACCATAAAGCCCAAGTCAGCTTGGCCTCTCAAGTTAAAGCTCAAGAGTTCAATAGCAAAATATACAAAGATTATCTGCAGAAACATTGGCTAAGGGACCAACTGTATGTGCAAGTTAAATCTCATGAATCCAGAAAAGAGAAACATACCAGAGAATCAAATGTAGCCAGTCCACATGTTAACACAAAAATCTAAGCAAAGCTACTCAGAATGAGTCCCTTCAAACAACACTTACAAAGGTTTCCTCATGCTATTTACAATTTTAAAGTAAATTTGCTTTCTAAGCAACTAGGGAATTCTTTACTTAATACCTTTCTAACACAAAGTTCACATAACTGCTTCTTTCAAATCACAATACTGAGCTTTATCACAACCTAGAAGTAGGATCTAAAAGGCAGCAAATATAATGCCTTAGAGATCAAGAAACATTTACACAGTTCAACTGTTAAAAATAGCTCAACGTTCATCTAGTGAATACAGTCAGATGTCAGTATACAAGTTCTTCAGGTAGGAGAAAGACCTTTCGACTGTTCTTCAGGTGCCTCCAAACGCTGATTCTGTGGAACTTCTTTCAGAGGCTGGTTTTTTCCAAACACAGTTTGTGGTTTCATAGCCCTGAGTTCAGATTTCCAGGAAATGTGATCACCTTCCTGCTGCTTAAAAGACCAGACATGTACATCACACAGATGTCATCATTTTCACTCAATTAACAGGCTGAGCATATGCGTAGGCACATTCTGTCACTGAATCAAAAATTTAACATTACTATCTCAGGTCAAATTCTACTATAACAATAAACATGACAAAAATCTCTACACAACCACAATTCCAAAAGCCCTAATAACAATTCACTCGCTCCAAGCAGCAGTCATTAGCACAAAACTCCAGTATATTCAGTCTAACTGTATTTGACCTCGAGTTTAGGAACATGAGCCAAGGTTAGGGAAAAAAAACAAGCTCTCCTTTCACCTCTAATAAACAGATAAATCCTAATAATTTTAGTAATAAAATACTCACCATCCTTGCTTCCCTCACTCGTCTTAAAATGACACCTTCTGCCAATAAAGCTTTCCCTGTTTCTACAAACAGCTTCTCTTCATCTGTTTCTCCAAGATTCTGTAGCTCAAGGTACTTCTCCACAAACCTGGAATTCCAAGCGGTCACATCTGAGGTCTGCTGTCACAGAGATTCAAGCATCCCCTTAACAAATCTTGCTATAGGAACATCTTTTTCCTCAGGTGGAATTCAACCATACTCCTCAAACTGATAACTAAATCCTTAAAAAAAAAAAAATGTGACCCAGGACTTATAAAATGGCTTACTGTTGACAGGTAGACTTGAAGTTTGGATTGAAGAGATCAAAAGCTTTTTGACCAGATCCATAGGCTGCATAAAATTTCCTAGAAAATACAAAAAACAATATAAATTTCCAATTATAGATAATGTCCAAGAATTAAGTAAGAAATAACTCCTGGGTCCTAAGAAGGATAACATGACTTAAAGCCTGAGCCTAACAGTTTTTGTAGTTTTTTAAAAAATAAGTAACACATGCATGTGATGAATACATCACATTACAAAAAGGCATCCAGTGACAAGCAACACTCCTCACCTCTGCACCCCAACCCCTGAGTTCCCCTCCCATGAAGCAACACTAACCAGTTTCTTGTCTATCTATCCAGGAATATTCTACCAATAGACCAGCATATATGCACTATCCTTCCCTGTCTCCAACGCTGAGGATAGTAAACACTATTTTACATCTTGCCCTTTTTATTCAGTAGTTCTTAGAGATCACTTCAAACCAGTGTCTGATTTTTTTTCCAGCCCTTTGCTACTCTAGACAGTACTGAAATGATTACCTTTAACTGTATTTCTTAGTGCACTGTGCAAGTAAGTCTGTGAATGAATTTTTAAAAATGGTATCGAGTCAAGGTATGTGCATTTGTAATTTGGCCTTCTAAATTGCTTTGAAAAGCAGTTGTGCCAAATCGCACTTGAACCAGTAACATATGAGTGCCTATTTCCCCATACCCGGACCAAATTATTTGTTTTAACATTTTGATCTGTCAATTTGATAGGTGAAAAATTACAACTCATTATAGTTTTGTTTTGCTTATAAAACACATTAGATATCTTTTTTTGTATGGAAAAGCAAACTGAATTTCCTTTTCTGTGACCTGTCTATGGTCTTTGTCCATTTTTTTTAACTTGATCTTTTTATTATTCACCAATAAGAATATTTATAGCATGTAGATGGGAAATTAACCCTTCATCATACATGATGCAAAAGTTTATCCCAGTATGTCAACTGACCTTTGATTTTGCTTGTGGCATTTTTTTATGCAGAAAATTTTAGTATTTGCATGTATGGCTTCTGGGTTTTATGTCATGCTTAGAAAGACCTTTATCACTCAGATTATTTTTTTAATTCTCCCATTTTTTCTTCTAGTACTTTTATGATTTCACTTTTTATATTCATTCAGGTTTTGACATATCTAGAATTCATTTTATTTATAAAATGTTCTTTAAGACACCAAAAAAAACCCCACAAAGATAAAGGTTAACAAAACTACTTAAATACAAGTTATTTTAGCATTAACAGTAATAATAAAAGAGAGCAGTAAACTATTCCACATTCTCCAATGACCTATAACCCAGTTCCACTACAATCCACACAGAAGTACAATTAACGTATAAATGAACTTCAAACACATCCCAACCAAGTATATACAATGGGCCTGAACAGAAAAGTGCTGAAAAAGTATTTAATGCCCCCAAAATCTCATGTCCTACCTTGAAAATTTCCAAGCTGAGCAAGAACATATTTATTTCCCTATCTCAAAGGAGTGTTGTTGGGGGGAAAAAAATTTCACTAAAATGAAAGACGCCTTAACCTCAACAGAGAACATAATGACTGTAAATTCTGTTTTCTTACATCCAAGAACAGGGTTGAAAATAAAGGATATGTATTAATTTCAATTAGGCACAACCTCTTATGTTAACATTTAAGAAAAAAGTAACTACACAAATTCTAGGTACTAAAAACTAACTGACATCAGTTTTTTGAGGAAAATGGTTTGTTAGTAAATTCCCAGTGATTTGACCTCCTCGAGGCTCACAGTCTTCATCAATAAAATGGAGACAAGGATACCTACCTTACAGGGTTGGAGTAAGGCCTAAATGAGATAATGTTTGTTTTGTTAAGGGCTTAGCACAGTGCCTGCCACAAAACAGATGTGCAGAAAGAGGCAGCTATAACTGCAAGTTGATCAGTCCCGTTGCTGGACTCCAGATTCCACTTCTCACCTTGTATCTCTCACGTCGGGGAGGGGCGCTGACTCCCTAATTTGTCTAGATATATAAGACCGCCACAGGGCCAGCCCGGACTCAATTCCTATTTAAGTTACCAGACTTCTAGCTAAACCTTTCCTTCGGAAGTTCTGCTGCGTCCTGCCCGCCCTGTGGGCTTCGCACTCACGCTCTAATCCGATCCTCGTGATAAAAGATGTCCTGGATGTGAGCCTTGGCTTTGCCATATCGCAGGCGGGGCCTTCGGAATACCGGCTCTCTCAGCGGGGGAAAGGCGTTATATACGTCAAACCAGAGAGGCTTCTCCTTCAACACCCCAGCCCGCATCAGGTCCCGAGTCCTTAAGGAAGGGGAAAGAACGAAGGCCTGTCATGTACAACAGCCTAAGCCCCTGAATCAGTTTAGCCACTACAACCGGAGACATCTGCGGGCTCATGGACCAGCAGGAAGACGGACCAGAGCATGGGTGCTCCCCACCTAGAGGTAGGCATTTCCACATTACAAACCAACCTAACAATGCTATCATCTTCTACGCGTCCCACCCGCCTTCCCCATCCCTTGTCCCGTCGAGGAAAACGCAAAGATGGTCCAGCCTGGCCCATCGGCCTCCTTCTTCTTCCTAGAGCTCTCCACCCGAAGAGGGGTAGAGGTGCAATCTTAAACGTGATAGAGTCAAGGAGTGGTGTCGTCATGCACAACTATTCGGAGGCAGGCAAGAGCACAAGAGAGCCTCCCTCGGCTCCAGCACCGGCCCTCCGGAGAAGGCCTCGCCGGCTCAGACCCACCCAAGGAAGAGCGGGGCCCGCTGAGGACCTCTGCCCGGGGAGGCGCCCTCAGCCCAGCCCGGGTCCGAGCACACACCGCGTGAAGATGCTGCCCACGGCTTCCAGCCGCGTCCCCGCCATGACGGACACCTCGGATCAGACGCAATCGGGGGCTACCGGAACCGGAAGCGCCAGTGGCAGGCAGATGGGCGTAAATTGCTGACCGAGCCCAGGATTGCCGCTCTGGCGCCGCGGCCCCAACGGGAGAGCGGAGCCAGGCAGAAGCAAAGGATGGGCCGAACTGCAGCGCCCCGAGGCCACCCGGCAGGCTCAGACGGGAACACTCGCTAGCCGAGCCGAAGGGAGGGAGGGAGCCCAAGCCGGGCAGAAGCAATAAATGACCGATGTAGAGGAGGAATTAACTGTGGTGGTTGCTTTTTCCCTTTTGGCTTCACAGTACCGACTCTTCTCGAGAAGGTGGGGCCACGCCGCGGGAGGATGATGGGGAGGTGCCTCCAAAGTCCCGGGGAACTAACCCAGGCCGTGGAATCCACAGAGGCCGAGGGGAGAGGTCGGCAGCTGCAGGCCCGGACTGCACCTAATCTTAGTTGGACTCACAGCCTATGCAGAAGGAAACCGAGGCCCTGGGAGGAGCAGTCACTTGCCTAAGGTGGCACTAGAGTCCTAGCCTCCGCCCTCCGTCTCCTGCTGTTTAGCGCTCCCCACTAAAGCCTCAGACCCTGGAGCGCCTTCTGCATCCGCTCTAACAGGGATGCTGCCGGCAACTAGAGTTACTCTGCGGGAAGCGTGCTGGCTAGCTGCTCTTTCAGCTTGAAAAGTGAGTGTCCGTCCGGAATACGCATTCCGAAAAGGAAACTCAAAAATATGGGGAAAGTAGTATCTCAGGGTTACCTTTAGGTCCAATAATCATACTTCGGGTAAAGTACCCCATAGAAAACACAATTTCATGAGGATATTTGTGCAAGGATCGGCCTTGCAGCATTATTGTAGTGGGGAGAAGTCCGTCAAATGGGAAATGGCTGGAAAAGCGTGGTTCATATAGTCTGCAGAATCCTATGCAGCTATTCAAATGAAGGAGATCAAGTGTGTTTGCCTAGATGAATGCCCATGACCAGAAATGCCTTTAGTGGGATCCTAACCTGCTAAGAGAAAGAAGAAAACTCCTTTATTTGTGTTTGTGTTTGCACGAGAATAGAAACTATGTGGAAGGACGCACAGACTGTGAACATTGGTTATCTCCAGTGAAATTGCTGGAGAAGGGGACCTTTTTTCTTTGTATCTCCCTCAGACTTAAACCTGTAAAAAGTTTGTATTCATATTTGAACGTTTAAATCCAGTGACATGTTTTGGATCACATACATACAAAATATCTCCCAGGAGCCCATGATCTTTTGTCAGCCTGAAAGAGCATCAAGTCATCCCAGAATTCTCCCACTGAGTGAGGGGCTGGTGAGGAGGAGGAAAGAAATGTTTGATGAGCAGCTACTGCTTGTGTTTTCTCAGAGAATCCACACGCCTACTCACAAGGTGGCTGTTATCATCCTCAATATAGATGAGAAAGTGAGGCCACAGGGGATTAAGTAACTAGTCTGATAGGTAACACAGAGCCAGGCTTCCAGGCCAGCCTGGGGGGCCCTTTCCAGGACCCTGAAATGCCACCTTAGCTATGCCTTCAAATTGGAGACTGGCGGATGGAGGGCGTCCGGCAAAACTGGCTCCAGGGACAGGGAACAGAGTGATTTGATGCCCACAGCTGACCGAGAGATGGGCTTTACTGCTGCCTTGGGTCCCTCTGGAACAAGGAAGAGCACAGCTCTGGCTGCTGGGCCAAGTGTGGAGATTCCAGTCTTCCAGTCCCAGAAAGGTATGACATACTTTGCTCTGGGAAGAGCAAACGGGCTCGTGGCTAAATATAGTCTTCCCAGACCCATAGAAAGTTTCTAATTCTGTCCAAGTCAGAGCTAGCTGCCAGCCTAGACCGCATACTTCCTTTCTCCCACTCAGGCCTGCCCCCATAGGCCACTGCAGTTACTGCTGCTAAAGAATTGGAAGGAGTTATTCCAAATTCGGAGTGGGGAGCCAAATACTCAAACCCTCAATGGGGGAGGAATTGCAAGGGGAATATTTTCTCTCTAGATCTTCTGGGGAAATCCCTTCCATTTCTGAGCCCTTCAAGTTTCTCCTGCAGCATCATGTTTAATGTTTTAGTGACTGAGGGAGCAGATGTTAGTAGATAGAGTAGGAGGACCATAGAGACATGTGAGCAAGATGGATTGGGAACCCTCTGAGCCTGCAGCAGGCAGGGGGTGCCCCAGGGAGGGTTCATTCATAATATAGGAGGAAGCTGAACAGGCAGCTGGGAGCAGGCAGAATTGACATTACAGGTTTTCTGTCTTCTCACCAGGACCTCTCAAGGCTGCAAGGGGCTCATACACTCATGCCGTGCCCTGAACCCAGAACCTGGATTATCTCATTCAATTGTTTGACTACCTGATGCCATAGGTAATGTCCTGGCAGTCTTACAGATAAGGAAACAGAACTTATAAACTCTCCAAAATAACATATTCTTTCCACTACACCACTTGGCCCCATTTTCATCCTACCACATCACACTGTAGATGTGTCCACTAATCATGTGGGCAAGTTACATAACTTTTTAAGCCTCTGTTTCCCCATCTGTTAAAATGTGGATGGCAGTGTCAGTTATCCGAGTGGCTTGTTGCAAGAGTAAGAGTGATCATTCATTCATGTAAAGCACTAATTGCAGCACCTGGCACATAGCGAGGGCTCAAAACAATCCTGATGGCTATTATAGCACTGCTCTTACTGTTGTGTCCCATAAACTACTGATTGCCACCTGGGACTGCAGCATTTTGATGAAATTCCATAGGTTGCCTTATTGTTCGATTTTCTTGTTAAATGATCCATTCTCCCCACAAATATTTAAACACTTACCTGACCCTTCGCTGAGTCGTGTAGAAGCTGACTGTCCAGTGGAAGAGACAGGCAAATTCCTAATTAGTAGGTTATGGGCTGAATAGCTTATTGATTGTATTAGTTGGCTAAGACTGCCAATAACAAAATGCCATAAACTGGATGTCTTAAACAACAGGGATTTATTTTCTCACAATTGTGAAAGCTTGAAGTCTGAGATCAAGGTGTTGGCAAGGTCGGGTTGCTTCTGAAACTTCTCTTTGGCTTGTAGATGGCCTTCTACTGCCCATGTCTTTGTGTGCTCTTACCTCTGTGTCTCTGTCCTCTTCTTATGAAATCATATTGGATTTGGGCCCAACTTAATCACCTCATTTTAACTTAAATACCTCTTTAAAAACGCTATCTCCAAACATAGTCACATTTTGGAGGTCCTGGAACTTAGGACTTCAACATATGAATTTTGGAGGGACACCATTAAGCCCATAACACTGACTGACAGGTAAGTCCTTGTGCTGAGTATCTTCCATTTGCCCATTCAGATCCACATCCATACTGTGCCCCAGGAGGATGACAGCAGGACTGCATCCCCCACCCCTTGCCCTCTGCTTCCAGTTGGGTTCTAGTTGGTACCACGAGTGGAAGGCTTTGGCAGGAGACTGGAAGGAAGGAGAGTAAAGTCAGTCTCTATTCCCCTGGCTTCCTCCATGGACAGTCCAGGAACATAAAGTCACAGCGCCACAGGGCCACCTCTACACAGAGCTCTCTCACCAGCTTCCCGTCACTGTTCTCTCCCCTGTTCCTTCAGGGCTTGACTCAGTAAATTATGCCCCTCTGTTACTAGCCATAGGCTCCAGGCCATCCTTTGTGGCTTCCTTATACTCCACCCACATCCTTGTAAACAGTGCCCTTATTTAAATAGTGCCCAGGAGTTTGTCTGACAGAAAGAGTAAGAGCAGAACAGATTTGGGAAGTGAAAATCCCGGCATATTGATGAAATCATTCCAACAACTACCCACCTCTGGCAGAGAGCCAGGGTCAGGGAGCAATTAGCTGACTGCTTTAAAAGAGGAAGAAAGCACTAGTATATACTCAGTACACAATCCAAGGACCAGGAAGGGGAAGGGCAATGAGGCAGGAGTGCCACCTCTCCCCGCCAGGCTGTGGAGTGCTCCCTCTCCTGGCCCAGTACCCTCCTTTGAGGCCCACACCTCCTCCTCCTTTCAAGAGTCAGTTGGAAAGGCACTTCAGTCCCAGCACACACTCAGCTGGCCTGGGTCAACGTGCCTCCAGGACCTGCTCCCTCCCTCCCTAAGCTTCTCTCTGGAGCAATGCCTGTTGTAACTCTGCCTTCTTGTCTTCAGTCTGTCTAACCAGGCCTTTTGAAGGGCAGGAACCCAGGACAGGAACCTGGAGTCTTATCTCTGCTTCCACACACCCGGGCTGGTGCTTGGCCCACAGCTTGGTCTTAGAAAGAGTTTTCTGGTGAACAATGTGATGAATAAAGCCAAATTAGGGCAAAAAGGATGCAGCGATCTTCAGTCCTCCTTTGCTGGCTGCCCACATCCAGTCCTCCTTGATGGAGGCCTTCCCTACACACATCCATGTGGAGAAAGCTAGAGTTACATGGAAGAGTCCTCTACCCCACCATGTACCTGGTCATTTCTAGTTCTGGCTATCCTCTGTGCCTCATGGACAGATCCCTTTTGTAAACCTCTGGGCCTCTGCTTTGTCATCTGTAAAATGGGCATAAGCATAGCACCCAGCACAGAGACTTGTTCTGTGGGATCAGTGGGGTTAATACCTGCAGAATGCTTAAAACAATGCCTAGTGTATTGTAACTGCTCAATAAATAGGAGTGATGGTCTAATGATTTCTGACCATTCCATGTTTAAGAACAATAGATCACATTTATTAAATCACACCTAACAATTTACAGGTCATTTTCACATGGCTGCTCATTCATTTCTTCAGCAAACAGCAGCCTTGCCTCCAAAGAGAATCTAATTCGGGCAGAGGAGAGGGAAGCACTTCCTGCCTGGACCTGCCCTGGGAGGGCTGTAGCATCACTTTGGCTTCTTTTGTAGCCAAGCAAATAGGAGCCACATTGGCCTGAAGCAACACTCTGGCCTTTTATTATTGAAATTAAAGGCTGATTGGAATCACTCTGTGAAGAAGGATGAGGACCTTGAAAGTAGATATTTCAGGACTGCTCTGGACCCTTTTCTGTGGAAGGCAGAGCAACTCAATCTGTATTGTGCACCTGAACCTCCTGGTGATCTTGGAAAATGCAGATTCTAACTCAGTAGATCCAGGGTGAGACTTGAAACTCAATTTCTAACAAGCTCCCAGGTTGATGCCAATGCTGGTGGTCTGCAGATAGGGGGACCAACTAGCCCAAGTTTGCCCTGGACTTTCCCAGTTTTAGCACTGAAAGTTCAACATCCGAGGAACACTTAGGCCTGGAAAGCCAGGACAGTTGGGCATCATATCCACAGGCCACACTTTGAATAGCAAGTAGCAAGACAGGCTCAAGTCGAGTTTGTACAACTCTTCCCTTGCATGGAGTAACCCTTGTGACGTGATAAAGAATTGTAACTCTAGAAATGGCAGGCCAGGCAGATGGGGGTTTTATGGAGTCTGAAGCTTATGTAATCTTAGTGGCTCTTTTAAGAAAAGAAGTACAAAAATATCTTTGTTTTGCAAATTTTACAAAACATATGCCCATTTAAACAGTAAATTCCCTTCTGTCAGTTTGGCCTGAGGGGCCCACTTTTTCCTTGTGGGAAAATGGTGTTTTGGCCTCTAAATGGCCAGCAACTACCACTTCTGAGAGATGACCACCAGGTGGCAGTAGATTTACACGGCCCCTTGCAACCACCACCCCATGCCCCTCCCAACTCCAGAAATTTCTAAATCTTCCTCTGGCTGGCCTAGCTAATCCAACAAATTAATCTGTGCTGCTGTGATAATGGGCAAAAGAGTTCGTGTGCTTCTCTAAATAGCATATTTGCCATTTAATGGAAATGTTAAGAGATTGTTTTTAAAACCAGATAAAGAATGCTAATAGGTGAATTCTAGGTACACTGTTGGATCACCCATCACTGTGGAGATGTTTTTAACCATTACTGTGCTCCATACGTTGCATCTATGCAGGTTCTAGTCTTATCACCTCTTCCTGCAACCCCAGTATCTTGCTTAGTATTTGGACACCAGTTCTGGAGTTCCGTTGCCTGAGTAAAAGGATTATCACTCACTGAAGGTTGTGTTGAGTAAGGACCTTAACATCAGTTTCCTGATCTGTGAAATGGGAGTAATAATCCTGATTTCATATAATATTTGAGGGGATTAGGTAAAATAACATATATTAAAGTGCCTCAGAAAGGTGGCATACAGTAAGTGCCCAATAAGTAGCTGATTTCATCATCCCACTCCTTGCCTGCTTTCTGCCTTCTTTAAATCACCTTCTTCTCCTGTCTTTCCTCCCAACTCAACCCCCTAACAAGTTCTTCAAGGGAACAGAGGGAGGACTGAGACCTCAGCATAGTAATAACCAGGCCAGTTCTTCTGGGCACTGTTCTCCAGACCCATGATCTCCTGTCAAGTTGGGGCTGAGCCCTGGGACACCAGAGCGTACAAGGAGGGAGGGGCACGGGCTGGACCGGATTGTAGTTAGCCTGGCTCAGCACTTTTGCAGGAGATAAATCTGCGAGTGTCACCTTGAGTATACAATGAGCATGGTGTGTGAAGGCAGCTGGCTCCCTCCTGGGTCCTATATATACTGTTCAACCAGGAGGGACACATCACGGAGCAGAGCAGGAGCTTTATCTTCTGCACTCCTGCTGGACCCAGCAAGCTTTCTGTACTTCCTCTCCCCATGCCCCCTTCTCTAGTTAAAATCAGCTTCATCTACACCAACAACAAAATGGTGAATGGTTCTCAAACTTTACTGCATATTAGACCCAGAGGAGCTTTTACAGTCTGACTCCCAGGCTAAATCCTAAAGCGACTTAGTCAGAATCTCTGGGAATGGGATTCAAGCATCAGAAATAATTCCAGTGTACAGCCAAGTTTGAGAACTGGTGTTCTAGAGTAGTGTTTCTCAAACCTTAATGCTCATCCAGGTCACTTGAAGAGTTTGTTAAAATGCACTTTCTGGTTCAGGAGGCCTAGGGCAGAGCCCAAAATTCTATGTTTCTAACAAGCTCTGGAGGATACAGATGCTGCTGGTCCACAAACCAAACTTTGAGTAGCAAGTTTGTAGAACTGTGGTTCATGTACCAGAATCATCTGGAGGTCTTGTTAAAATATAGCCCAATTGCAGACTCAGTAGACCTGGAGTACAGGGCCCAGTAACATGCATTTCTCACAAGCTCCAGCGCTGCTGCTAGTCCATAGGGCACACCCTGAACGGTAGGACTGTAGAGAAACACAGGCTTGGAGTCGGGAAGCCCTGTGGCCTGTTTTCTGGCTTCACACTTTGCTAGCTCTGTGATCTTGGAAAGTTACTTAACCTTTCTGGATTGTCATTTCGTCATCTATAAAGGGGTTATTACTGGGCAAGATTAATTGGGCAAATTCGAAACACCTAACAGACTGCTCTGTGCACTGGTCCTCAAACTCAACTGCAAATTCAAATTACCTGAGGAGCTTTAAAAGAAACCAGCCCATAGTTGTTGATTTAATTAGTCTGAGCTATGAGCATCAAGACTTCTTGTAAACTGCTCAGGTAATTGTGCTGTGCAGCCTGTACAAGGTACTGGCCTGGCCCATGTCTCCCAAACCTCAGTCACAGATTGCTGGGCTGCACTCCCAGAGTCTCTGACTCAGTAGGTCTGGGGTAGGGCTGAGAACTGTGCTCTGCTCCAGGCATTACAACAGCTATCAGTAAAGAAAGCACAGAGCTGGGGTTTGAAGGTACTCTTGGTTTGCCCAGGTCCAAACAGCCCCTGGGGAGCACCACCCGCTATCACTGGTATGCCAGTTTACACCCACCTCCATCTAACTGGGGTGGGGTCGGGGAACCTCTTGTTAGGAGGAAGGGAGGAACTTGCACTGCCTGTCTGGAGGAGAGTCAGACCACTGAGCTAAAACATGGCATCAAAGGCAACCGCAATGGCCTTGGCCTGGGTGACCTAGAGCCCAGAAACAAGATGTGTGAGTGGAAGCCACAGGGCCTTAGGGCTCAACACAGGAAGAACCTTATAACCTTGGGAACTGCCCTGTCTGGAAAGGGCTCCTTCCTCTTTTGGCTCTGAGTTCCCTGGTGTGGGAGGTAGTCCACCAGAGTTGGGGAGCAGGGAAAAGCCAGCGATATTTGAAGCGGATGATCTCTGCGGGCCGTTTGAAGTCTGAGATGGCACATCCCTGCAGCCTCCCATCCAGCCGGCCGTTACTCCAGAAGCTTTCTGTTTATTTAGGGAGGTGACCGGCTGGAGCTTTCGCAACAGACTGGCTTTCCCGTTGTTGGCGTTTTCCTTTGCCTCTCAGCAAGCGGTTTTACTCTCCCAAGGCAAACAGGAAGGCAACGGAGCTAAGCAAAGCCAGCAGGTCGGCGAGGTTGCAGTGCGGGCAGCAGGTGCCACCTCGTGAGTGCATTGCAGAGACGGCTGAGCCCTTAGGACTTAGAGACGCTGAGCAGCGAGTTAACGCGGGCGGGCGAGGGGGCCCTAAGGGCTCCGGGGGCCAAACCCTGCGCAGGACGGAGCAGAGAAGAGGAGGGGCCAGCCCACGCCACCGGCCACATCAGAGCACCAAGAGAACACCAAGTCTTTATTACAGTTGTTCCTATTAAACAACTCCAAGAAAAAACCCACATAGAAGAAAAAACGACTAACAAGCAACACACACAGACGTGGGGCCCGGGGCTTCCCCGCCATGCGCCGGGTGCTGGCGCGAGGAGGGATCAGAGCCACAGTCCGGAGCCCCCTCCTCTGCCCCTCAGGGTCGGAGCCGTCAGCAGCTCGGGCTGGCGGCCTGGGGGATGGGGGGCTCGTGGGGGCCACGGGCCTGGCTGGGGAGAGCGGCGGGTCCCGCTGGGCAAGGCGGGCCCCGCGCTAGCGCCCCTGGCCCGGGGTGCTTCCAAACTTGGTCACGCTCCGCGGCCTCGGCGACGCGCCCAGGCCCCTCCCGCGGCGGCCTCCCAGAGCAAGGGAAGCTCGGCTGCCCGAATGTGCCCAGGGGCCCTCATCTGGCACCGCACAGGGGCGGGAGGAGCGAGGTGCAATCGTGGCTCCCACCTCTGCCGCTGGCCCTGGGCGCCCGCCACGCCCTCATCATCTCGGGGTGACTTGAGGCCACCAGGCCTCCCACTCCCAACCTCCCAATCCCGCACGGTGGGCTAGGCTGGGCTGGGCTGGTTCCACACTCCGGCCCCGAAGCCTCGTGCCTGCCTAGGCTTCCTGGTTCTCCGGAGAGGTCCTTGCGTTGCCATTTCCACAGTGAGGCCAGAGAAAGTGGGGCAGCCCCCCTCCCGTTGGTAGTGGTTGGTGCCGGTAAGGGTCTTAGAACCGTGGTTTCCCTCCTCGGGTCATTCACCTGTCGCTCTAGGCAAGGGGCACCCAGCAAGCCTCCCTAACCCCAGCGCTCCCACGCGGTCCGGCAGTTCACAGCCCTGTGCCTTCTCAAAGGTCATTTCAGAACCCACCACTCCCCACCCTTAGGACATCAGGACTTCTAGGCAGAGTTATCCCCCCACCTCCACCCAACCATAAGCCCCTACTGTTGTGTGACTGCAGGGTCCCATCCAGAACTAGCTTATGTCTTCTGTCAAAGTAAAAACTAACCCTTCCTCGTCAGAGTCCTCCAGTTCCTGAGGGGCTGCTCTCCTGACCCCTGCTGGGAGGTTTACGTCAGCCCCCAGCAGAACCACCCTGAGCGGCCCAGGCAGGGCTCAGCAGATACCTCTCTTTGGTGGCCCATCACTCCTCAGAGGGGGCCCAGGTGATTGCCCAGGGCTCTCCCATCAGGGATTCTGTGCGGTGGTTGTGCTGAGGGTTGGCGGCCATGGAGAAAGGCTGAGATGCAGGAGGCATGGGAATAAAGGGCCCAGGAAGCCCAGGGGAGCCGGGGATGGTGGGGGGGGATCAGGCAGTGTCTGCAGCCCAGCAGGACAGAGGGGAATGAGGGAGGGGGGCTCCACCTTCAGGTCAAAGAGCTTCTGGCAGGGTCATTCTGCCCTTTGGGGCACTCCAGCCTTTGCCTGTTTTCTGAGATTTTTTTTTAAAAGTTGGGGGAGGAGAGGGCGATGTGGGGAGGTCCTGCATTTCCACTCATTGCCCACAGAACAGAACATCCTGGTTACAAAAGGGGCTGTGATTGGCTGCCACCCTAGGAACCCCAGGTCCTTCCTCCAAGCATAGCACGCAACTCCCAAGTTCTAAGTCCCATGAAAATGGCAGTGACAGTGGCAGTGGTTGGGCTGGACTGTGGCCGGAGAATCACTGGGCCCAGGTACTCAAGCACCATCTGTCCGGCTGCAGCTGGGACCTTCAGCTGGGCGCCGGTTTTACTGTCTGGCTGTCTCCATCGGGTCTTCAGCAAAGAGGAACGGCAGGCATCTGGTAGGGAAAAGGGAGGGGAGAGGTCTTTTTCAGTGGAGCCCAGTGATCTTTCCTCATCATTCATTCCTGGAGAGATGGTTCTGGGCAGAAGCTTCCAAAGACAGGAGCCCTCTCCTCCCTCCAGGGACTCTAACATCAGTGTTGGAACTGTGCTGGGGTCATCCCCCAGTGCCAAATCCTAGCTCCTCATAACGCTCTAACTTGCAGAAGAGCAGGGACTCTGGCAGCTAGAGATGGAGTGGGGAGCTGAAACTGCAGATGGAATCAGCTGTATGGGAAGGGCTGAGAGGTGGGGAAGAGGCTGGTTGCTCTGCAATTCAGTGTAGCTCAGATGAGCTGGACCAAGGGGACCTGTAGGAGCAGAAAAGTACATTGGGGTCAGGATTTGGTGGCCTCCACACACAGGCTGAGGAGTTCAGAAGTCTTTTCTTGGAAGACTCAGAGGTATAAATGAAATAAGGTAGTGATGGAGTGAAGAAAGTACAGCTGTGCACCAGAGGTGAGAGTACCAGAGCAGTGGCGGAGGGAATAAGGGAAAGAAATGAAACGGAAAGGCTGGAGCAGAGACTTTCTGACTTTCAGAGAGCTGGAGGCACAGCTGGAGACAAGAGAGTGGCTCAGAAGGACTGGCTGAGACGGAGAGTCCAGTTTTGGAGCCAATTGCACAGAAGTATTGCTGATGCTATAAGAGGGCGGTGGCCCCGCTAGAGAGTGTGGGCGCAAAAGGGTCAAGGGCAGAGCCACGGGGGAGTGAGGGAGTGGGAGGGGCCGCGGAGCTGGGAAAGTGCGGGAGAATGAATGGCAGGGAGATCCAGGAGACACTGAGCACGGGACATCCTGGACCTGGCAGGGGACCTTCTTGAGTCAGTCTGGGGCTGCCAGCCTGCAGTGGGCAAAGGTGGATGCCACCTTTTTTTTCTTTCTTTTTAAACAGACCGTTTTTTTTTCTCACCCAGAATGCCACTTTTTCTCCAGCTGGGTGATGAAGGAAAATAGGGAGAACTGTTTTTAAGATGAGGAGGAGGAGGACTTGAGGATGGAGCTGGAAAGGGAAAGCTGGAAGACTTAGGAGAGAAATAGATGGTGACAAGGTCCTGATATGGGGGTGGCTTTGGACCAGACACGGTTTCCCTGGGGACCAGAGGAAGGAATGGCAGCAATACTGTGCGGAACCGGGGCCCTTCGCCAGGCTGTATTTGAGCACTGCGGATGAGTGGGAAGCGTGGTGCAGCGCTGTGGGTAAGGAGAACCCGTTAGAAGGGAATCGGTCTGAAGGTGTCTGGTGGGGGATGTGGCGGAGGGCTGGCTAGAAGTCACATGGAGGCCAGCCGCCCAGGCTGAGGGGAAAAGGCACTGGTACTGTACATGGCTATGACCTCTGTACCCTGGTTTAACTCACCTCCACTACAACGATTGTGAGAGTAGCAAGTATTTCTCTATAGTCTGAAATACGGCCATACCTGCCACACCATCAGCTCAAGAAAGCCTTGTAGATGGAGCCCTGGGACCAGGAGAGCGGGGAAGGGCAGGCTTGCAGCTTCCTGGTGGGGGGTAGGGGCTGGAAGAGGGACAGGTTCCACTGAGTCCTGGAAGAAGTGTGACATTCCCTGTTTATCTCCCAGTGATGTACAGGAAAAGAGGAGGAAAAGCAGCCTGGGGACCCAGTCGGAAACAGAGCCGCCTTGAGAGAGGCCGTTCCCTTATCTGGTTGTGCCAGATCTACACCACCACCCCGTTACGGGAGAGCTGTGTGTACACATGGCCATAGTGAGTCTGGTTCAGTTTTGTCTTCTTAGGGTGCTGTTAGTCCTGGACTGCCTTCTCAACTGGGCTATAGGCTATTCACAGTCAAAGCTGGGTTTTTTTTTCCTGTTCATTAACACCTGGCATAGGCAGGTGTGACTGTCTTTTGTCAAATGAATAAATAACCAAAAAAAAAAAACCTCAAGAGACTCATTCCCCTGCAGAACATGTGCCCTGCCACACATGGGAAAAGAAACCCAGGCCATGTGGCTGTCCAGCTGGCTGAGCCCCATGCCTCTGGACTTTTTCATGCTTGAGAACACCCCATGGCAGACACCCCTGAGAAGATGCCTGGGGTGCGGCCTCGGGCGGACCCTGGAGCTGCGGCTCCTCACCTTACTGCTTACTGTCCTTCCCGCAGGGCTTCCTCCACCTCCGGTGCCTCCTGCCGCCTTCCCCGGAAGTCTTCATCTGGAAAACAGAGGGAAGCTGCCTCCTCCTCCTCCCTGCAGGGCCCCAGTCAGGCAGTCCCCAGGCTGGGCAGAGGGCTGGCCCAGCTCGCCCAGGCTGAGGGGAAAAGGCACTGGTACTGTACATGGCTATGACCTCTGTACCCTGGTTTAACTCACCTCCACTACAACGATTGTGAGAGTAGCAAGTATTTCTCTATAGTCTGAAATACGGCCATACCTGCCACACCATCAGCTCAAGAAAGCCTTGTAGATGGAGCCCTGGGACCAGGACAGCGGGGAAGGGCAGGCTTGCAGCTTCCTGGTGGGGGGTAGGGGCTGGAAGAGGGACAGGTTCCACTGAGTCCTGGAAGAAGTGTGACATTCCCTGTTTATCTCCCAGTGATGTACAGGAAAAGAGGAGGAAAAGCAGCCTGGGGACCCAGTCGGAAACAGAGCCGCCTTGAGAGAGGCCGTTCCCTTATCTGGTTGTGCCAGATCTACACCACCACCCCGTTACGGGAGAGCTGTGTGTACACATGGCCATAGTGAGTCTGGTTCAGTTTTGTCTTCTTAGGGTGCTGTTAGTCCTGGACTGCCTTCTCAACTGGGCTATAGGCTATTCACAGTCAAAGCTGGGTTTTTTTTTCCTGTTCATTAACACCTGGCATAGGCAGGTGTGACTGTCTTTTGTCAAATGAATAAATAACCAAAAAAAAAAAACCTCAAGAGACTCATTCCCCTGCAGAACATGTGCCCTGCCACACATGGGAAAAGAAACCCAGGCCATGTGGCTGTCCAGCTGGCTGAGCCCCATGCCTCTGGACTTTTTCATGCTTGAGAACACCCCATGGCAGACACCCCTGAGAAGATGCCTGGGGTGCGGCCTCGGGCGGACCCTGGAGCTGCGGCTCCTCACCTTACTGCTTACTGTCCTTCCCGCAGGGCTTCCTCCACCTCCGGTGCCTCCTGCCGCCTTCCCCGGAAGTCTTCATCTGGAAAACAGAGGGAAGCTGCCTCCTCCTCCTCCCTGCAGGGCCCCAGTCAGGCAGTCCCCAGGCTGGGCAGAGGGCTGGCCCAGCTCTTGCCGCCCCCGTTTGCCGGGACACCTGCTGATCCCTAGGGGATGATGTGTGGGTCTGGTGATGCAGCTGGGCACAGGGTGACCTTAGGAGGCGGCTGCTGGCCTGGCTCTGTCACTGAGCTCTGAGACTGTGGTATAACGAGTCATAAGAAATACATATTTGGTCATTCATATGTTTCCCAGGTATATTTGGTCTTCTTCCACAGTTCCTAAAGACACTGCTGTGTCTTAAAGGTGACCTAGGTGTTTTGTCATGTTAATGAGAGGCTGTCAGACCCCACCCAAAGGCAGGGACTGGCGGTTGGATCAGCCAATGACCAATAATTTAGTCAATCATGCCTAGCAATGAAGCCTTCAGAAAAAGCTCTGAGAAGATCCTATCCTTCTCTTGCATCCTGCTTCTTGGCAGTCAAGAGCTTCTATGCTTGGGGACCTAGAACGCCTCCACATGCCACCAAGCCAGGTCCCAAACTCCATGAGGATAGAAGCTCCTTTATTTGGGACCTTGCTCTTTGTATCTCTTCATCTGGCTGTTAACTTGTGTCCTTTACGGTATCCTTTATTAAACTGGTAAACATGAGTGTTTTCCTGAGTTCTGTGAGCCAATCTAGCAAATTAATCGAATGTAAGCAGGAGGTCGAGGGAACCTCCAACCTGTAGCTGGTAGGTCAGAAGCACAGGGAACTGCAGCTTGTGACACCCAGCATCTGGAGTTGGGGGTGGAGGGCAGTGTTGTAGGACAGAGGTCTTAACCTGGGGAATCTGGTGCTGTCTCCAGGCAGATAGCATCAGGACCTACTTGAATTCACCAACACCCTGCTGGTGTTGGAGAATTGCTTGGTGTTGTGTATGTGGGGGGGAAACCCCTCCCCCGCCCCCACACACATTTGGAACAAGGTCCTGGAACCCGAAAGGAATAATAATACTGTTATACTGCTGCGTGACACTATTGTTGGTATATAGGAAAGAAAAAACCCCTTTGCAGAGACCTTGGACAAGTGCTTTTCCTCAGTTTCCGAATCCATAAAATGGGATGGGGCAGTTGAACTGTCCAGATGACCTCCAAAGCCCTTCCAGCCCTTGTTTCTGTATGTCTGCTGACCACCAAAGAGCCCCTCTGCTCTGAGGCATGAGTACCAGGGGTAGGCTGTGGGCCTGGGAGGGCCTAAGGCCCTGTTTTCCAGCCCACGTGGCCTTTAGGAAAGACTAGAACACTAAAAGGCTGCTGGACCCAGGGACTGAGACTGCCCAGCACTTGGTGCTCAAGGTGAGGCCCCTCCATGTGGGCAGGCCTGTCTGCCCCCTCTACCCCCGCCAGAGACTACTCTCCAGGAACAGCACCTCCCACTTTGTTCTCCATGTAGAGGTCTCAGTGCTTGGGGAGGTGCAGCAGGGGCCCCATTTCAAGAGTGGAAGGAAGGGAGAGACAATATGGACCAAATGGCAGGGCCCATTCCTTAGGATCACCTGCCCGCCAACCCTTGATGTTTCCTCCAGGTCGGGTGCTCCTTCCCTGACAGATTAGGTCCACCTATAAAACACCTGGGTCCCCCTCTTGGCAGGCCACCAACCACAGGCAGCTTAGAGCCCAAGTTTCGCAGCCCTTCCCGCCTCACCACACGGGTGGCCCTCCACGTCGTCCAGGAGATTGGCTGTTGATGCCGCAGCCCCCAGCCTGCCAGGCCATTCAGGAAAACTGTCACAGGGATAGGTAGGCACTGCCAGTGTCCCCCCAGTTCTACTCACTCCCTGTCCCTAACCCTGAACCATCTGCTGCCAGCTCAGGAGGCTACGGTCATGCCAGCCTAGCACTGATATCTCCCCACAGGTGCCTTTTCTTGGGGTAGCTGAGCAGCCAGGACCTGACTCTCACCGGCTCCCATCTCAGCATGGAGAAGCAATTTGGGCTGCTGAGTTTCTAATATCCTGTGCCCTGTTTGAGAAGCATGGATGGGAGTCTGGGTAAAAATATGAAAAACCTTATTTTGACTCAAGGTACTGAAAGTGAGAAGACTGGGTCAACATGCTTGAAATGATGCAGAAAGATCTGTGGATCAATTCAACTCAAGAAATTAGAGAAAGGTGTGCTGATTTTGTAGGAAGAATCAAGCTTTCTCCCAAGATGTAGCTTATCCCAGACAAAAAGTTAACAAGTTGTAGGACAACTTGTGAACCTACAGAAGGAAGGTGGGAGCCACTGGCCTGCTTCCCACACCAGGTCATGGTAGTCAAGATTGGCCCCAAGAGGCAGGGCGGCAGACTGGCAGTGGGGCTCAGCGAGGAGAGGACAAGGCCACAGAGCCAGTTGCACTCCAGAGAGGGCACAGGCTGGGAGTCCAGCCAGGGTCTCAGTGGCCTGAGCGCCCTCCAGCCCACCTAGCACCAAGCCCAGGAAGGATACGCTTGATGCTTCAGCAGGTGCTTCCTCTTTGACTTCCCCATCCTGGTCTTCTCCGAGAAGGCCCTGGCCAGTTCAAACAGCTTCCTCCGGGTGGCTGGGGGCAGAGACAGCTTTGAGCCGGCAGTGGAGCACCCAGACCTGGGGAAGGCCAGGGTAGCCCCCCTCAGGGGAGGGGTAGGTGGAAGGCTGGTGGGGGAGGCAGGGAGGTGACAGGAATCACAAATGCAGGTGGGATGAGGCTGCCATCCCTGGTTGGCCTACATGGGTAGCACAGGCCAGGAGAGGCCAGGCCAGGGACCGCCAGCCTGCTGGCAGACCAAGATCCGGGTATTCCTTCCTCAGCTACCAGAGACAGCCAGGCCTTCCCCCACCTCCAGTTGGTTCTGGGCTTTCCATGACTAATCCAAGATTTTCCCTGAAATGGAGCCAGAAAGGATGGCAGCCTCATTCACACATGGCTGTGTGTCTGTGTGGTGGGGAGGGGAAGAAAGGGAGGCCGGATCTGGCTGGCAGGACTTTGTGGGAAGAGGTCACCAGCCCTGCAGGCCTCCCGCCCACCCAGAGTGGGCTTAGCTTGGGCCTCCCCACTCAGTCAGGCCTGGCCAGGCCCCCTCAAGCCAGAGTGTGAACGCTAAAGTTAAGGGGGAGGGGAGGCAACACATGATTATTTTTCTGCAGACAGCTGGCTCAAGAGGATTTAAAACTTAATTTGTATCCAGACTACACTGCAGGGGGAAGTGAGACAGGAAGGCTGAGGGAGCTGGCTTGCAATTAAAATGTCACTGTGGTTCACCAAGAGTCAGCTTCATTAAACATTCTGGGCTCCCTCCCATGAGGCCACAGGGCCTGTCTTCTAGAGTTGGGAAGGGGACATAGGCTAGACTCACATTTTCCCATGTGTTTCAACTTGTCCCTGAATAAGGCATCTTCCGACACAGCAGGGTTAGTGTCACTGGTTCCTAGAAGGAGAAGACATCTCTGAGAACCAGCTGGAGGGACAAGGGCTGCCCAAGGTGGGTCAGGGCCGTCCGCAGAGGACAGAGGTTCAGTCTGATGCTCCCATGTGAGGAAGGAGGCAAAGGGCGGGCTTCTTCCCTAACCAGGAGTGAATTTAAAGCAAGGACAATGCTTGGGGTTCCCTAATGAGTGCTCCTTTTCCCATTGGACCCCACTTTCCCTTCTTCTGTAAAAAGGGGGACAGGGGTATGGTCTCTGTGTGCAGAAAGTCCGCTCACACAGGCTCCCAACTGCTTCTCTGGATCAACTCCGCATTCCTCGATGCCACGTTGGTAGCTTGAAATCAGCCACTGAGGGAGTATTTTTGCATGGAAGTCACCAGATGTTAAGCACTGGGGCTTCCCCTGCACCCGGAACATTCAGCAGCAAGCCACCTGCATCCCCATGGCTGAGAGTTAACGAGGGAGCAGAAGGGCAGTGTGGGCACAGAGCAGGCATTCCCCCGTGGCAATTCCCTTCTCCCTCCTTCCTGGGCCAGCCCCTCTATTACTCCCCAGAGACATGGAGTCTTGGACTCATTGGACAGTGAGTAGGAAAGAGAATAGAGCTAGTTCCAAAGTCAGAACCTAGTGGGCCACTCAGAGCGCCCCCCATTCACTCAGCACCCACTTGGTGCCCTTCTGAAGCCCTGCTCTCCACTCTGCAACTCAGCTAATCCCAAGTCACCTTGCCTGCTAAATCCCCTGTGAGTCATGATCCATCTCAGCAGCCCTGAGTGTCTACTTAATTCAGGATCGAGGACAAGAGGCTGTTGTTAAAACTCACAGATGCACATCTGGTGGTACTAAGCTCCCAGCCTGCTGTTTCTGAATCAATTCCAGTGGATTTTCTCTCTTCAAGCTGGGATCAGCTGAGCTCCCCATCCTTCTGCTCCTCAACCCCACCCCACCGAGTGATGTTGTAAAGCCTCTTTTGTGCAAAAGCTGCTGACCCTTTCTGGGATATGGGCCACCTGTGTGTGCAGAGGTACTGACTGACTTGAGCATGAGGCACACATGTGGGCCAAGTCCAGATGTCAAATGTGGGACCCAGGCCTACTGGGCCTCTCTGCCTCATGTTCCCGGTTCCAGCTGGACCCTCTCTGTGCATCCTGAGAGCCTGCTGTCCACCCTTGGCCCTCCTTCAGCCAGCTAGGGCTCCTGTGCAGCCTGGCCCTCTTCTGAGGCAATTCTTGCTTCTCACCACCTTTCAAAGAAAGCTCAAAATCATCCTCCTCTAATTCCAGGGCAGGGCCTGCCCCATGGCAGATACCCCCAGCTACTGAGTGAATGAATGAACCCCTCCCAATGAACCCTGCCCTTCTCCTCCCTGTGCGTTTGCCATAATCAACAAGTGTGTCCTCAGCTTTGCTGGCTTATTCTACCCATTTCTTACATCTCTTGCATTCCTTACAAGACTATAAACTCCCCCAGGACAGAGCCCATGCCCTGTAAATCTCCAAGTCCTCTGTGTGCCTTCCCACCATGGTGGCATTATGTGGGTGGTGTGTCCCCTCCCTGCTCACACTTCAGGCACCTCTCAGTTCAGCCAGCCTGTTGGCCACTCCCAGCCGTGGGCTCCAGCTGCTGCTCAGTTGGTACGAACTCAGGGCTGCTAAGTGAGAGGCCATCTCACTCTGTGGTGAGTGTGGTTGGGCGGGGGCAGAACCCTCCCTCCAGCCTAATTCCTCACCCCACCCCCAAACTCAACTCCAAATATGCAAGGCACATGGGGGTGTGAGTCTCCTATGTCCTCTGACCTCCCTCCCAGGAAGGCAAGGTTACCTGGGGCAGGAGGCGGAAAGCCAAAGTCATTTCCCGTAGCCACGCTGCTGGATTTGGATTTCTGGGACTCATATTTCAATCGATCTGAAAAAGGACCACATTCCAGTCAGGGAAGTTAGCTCCTGGAAAGAGGCTGTTGGAGGCTGAACCCCCAGAATTGCACATGAGCACACACAAAATATGTGTACACCCATCTACCAGCTCTCAAAGAATCACAGGAACTACTGCCCAGACAAGCATCTGGAATGTTAGAACATCAGAATGAGAAGGGCCTTGGAGATCTGTAGTCCAACCCTTCACTGAAAAGGAAAGGCCCTGAGCCCCCGGCACTTTTGCTGCAGAGCAGAGCCAGCCTTCCCTCCGCAAGCCCTGCTCCCTCCCACAGCACACCGCCAGTCACATTCATACACACACTCACACTGTGAGCCTCATAAGGCAGACCTCCCACAGCCCTCCCCCTGCACCCCACCCCAAACACACTCCCATCCTGAGGGGGAAAGGCAGACAGGCTGACGAGGTGGGTCCCTGGCTCAAAGACAACCCAGCACCTGAGTCCCTGCTTCCCTCAGGGAGGTACCTGCGGACCCGGTCCCTTGACACTTCATGCCAAGGCTGGCACCTGGCACAGAGCAGACATGTGGCAGGGATGCAGAGAGCCTAAGAGGGCACACCCCTCTTCCTCTGAATCCCAGGGGAGGTAGAAGAGGTGGCCCGTGACTCAGATCCCTGTTGGCAGGTCCCCACAAGGGAAACTGGACACCATGTCTCAGCAGGACAGAGGCCACCCTTAGCTCCTGCTCAAGGCTGCTTCTGAGCCTAAAGGCTAAAGCCAGCACCAACCCCCTTCCTCAGCTACAGAGGAGTGGCCATCGCGCCCCCACCCGGTATACCACCTCTCTCCAGGGCAAGGAGGAAGTCACGGTTGCGTTGCAGCTCCTTCATGAACTCCTCGTTCTGCAGGAAGAGTGCGATCCTCTCATCCTCCAAGTACTGCTTCCAGCGGCTCTCCGGGTCCCGGGCCCCAGGCCCGGCCGCAGGGAGCAGGCCTCCCTCTCCACTTGCAGGCTTCGACACCCTGGGGCTTCCCTGAGGAGGGGAACATGTGGAATGGCTGCTCACAAGGGCACACATTGCATAAACACCCATGCACATCTGGGCGTACATGTTTCCTTTCCCAGGACCCTCTGCCTGCATGCTGGGGCCTGCACATCCTATCTGAACCCAGTCATCAGCCAAAATCCACCATAACAGGCCAGAGCCTTCTCTTCTAGAAAAGCAGCAAGGCCTTAAAAACTGGCTTTCCTCCTTCTTGGACCACCTCCCATCCCTCCATCTACAACTGAACAGTCCCAAAAAGTGATCTGCAAGCTGCTCATTGCCTATGCATGGATTCCCACACTCAAACCTCTGCTGGTACCAGCTGTCTCAGGCTGAGACCGCCTGACCCACTGCATGGGCCCCTCAGGTCATACGTACTTCTGGGGGAAGCCACCCCTGGCCCTTTTCAGGGGATGGAAGGAAGTGCCCTGGCCCCCTGCCATTGCCTGCCCCCATGTCCACAGCCCTCCAGCCTGGGGTGAAGGCTGCAGCCAGTCCCCTCAGCCAGTCACCTTCCCTAGGTGGAACAGGAAACCTCCCGGCCCAGACAGGAAATGAGGCTTCCAGTTCAGCATTTTCCCTACAAACCCAAGGCAACAGAAATAGCTCAGCCTGGGCTTAAACACTAGGAAGTGAAACTGCCACAAACAGTGTGGGTGAGCAGAGATGATGTACAGGCAGGTGGGGGCATCCCCCGTTACCTGTATGCTGTCCAGCTGCTGGGGCAGGATGCGGAGAAAGTCGTCGGGGAGGTTACCCAGCAGTGGTGGGTTCCAGTTCCGATAGCGCCTCTGGCTCAAAGGGGGCCCAGAGCCCAGCACATCAGTGCTGGAGGGTGGGAGGTGACAGCGAGGAGGGAACAGTCAGGCCAAACACAGGTGACCCCCCGGCTCTTCACACCAGGATCCTGCTCAGAATGCCACTCCTGCTCCAAAGCCTGCCATGGCCTCCACTGTCCCCAGGACCAAGATCATCACACTCAGGCTAACCCAGCCTCAGCCCCAGCCTGGGCTCCTGCTGCTCCAGACATTCAGCTCTCCACCCACTCCTGCCCTCAAGGTCTCCAGGTCTGGAGCCTCTCTATTCTCAGCGCTCACGAAGGGCCTCTGGCTGTAGGTGAGGGTTTCTCCATGTCCTCTGAAGACAGCAGGGATCACATTATCTCAAATTATGTCCCCAGCACGGAGCACAGTGCAAGCTCATGGCTCCTGGGTGACAGGCGTGCTCCAATGAATGGACATACAAGCCCCCAACGGTGCAGCCTGTCCAGGAGATGCTGGGGCAGGGGGCCTGGGGGACATCAGGATCCCTGCAGACAGTAGAGCAGAACCAGACTCCAGTTTAGGCTCAGCCATACCCAGCAAGGCGGTCCTGGGCGAGACCCTGCTCCCCTCTGGGGCTCAGTTTCCTCATCTAGAGACTGCTGCCTCCTGGCCAAGGTGTGTGGGAGCGCCCTCATGAGGCTGTGTCTTGAGCAGTGTTCTAAAAAGGCACACTGAGGTGTGGGGTGGAAGGTTTCTTGTACCAAGGGACACTCAGGAGCTGTTCTTCATGGGCAAGCTGCCTGGCAGGGTGTCTGTGCCACGCAGAGGCGACCGCAAGGCGCAGGTGAGAAAGGCAGGAGGTGGCACATGCCCTCCCTGACCCCAGGCCCCGCCCTGCCACTGTGGGCCTGAGGGCAACTCCTGGGCAGCCTGCAGCGTGGCAACCACGGGACACGTGTTCTGCTGAATCAGGGAAATGACACACACACAAGGCAGCTGAGGGCCGGCGGTGGAGGCCACTCTTGCCTGGCTTTGATTTGGTTTCCAGCTCCAGGAATCCCGCCCGCCCCCTCACTGAAGGGGAGCTTTTCTGGGCTGCCGCTGACTATGGAAATAACTTCCTTTCCTTTTCTATTTTGGGCGGGTGGCCTGGCAGGGGGGAGGGGCGGGGCGGGGCAGCAGCAGACAGGATGACAAGCTGCTAAGTGCATGGTGGGGGCACAGCACCCAGTCCGGAGCCCAGGGCATCCCAGCAGCCTCCTCCACCCTCTCTCTGTACAGAGCAGGGAATGGCTTGGTGAAGAGCTTGCATCACAACCCAGATCTCCAATTCCTAGGCAGATTTCTCTCTTCATCACTCTGCCACTTTCTGTCACTGCTGGAGGCTGCAGTTTTCCCAAGGGTGTGAGAGGCAGGGGATAAGATATCCCATCCCTCAGGGACTCGCAGACCATCTTTGGCTGGCCCAGCATGGAGAAATCCTCTCCAGAGTCATTATGCTTCCCTGGGCTACAGGGTCTTCACCAAGGACACAGGTGCCCACCCCATCCCCACCCCATCCAGAGCCACCAGGGGAGCTGCAGAGACCCCCAGGTCACATTGGGACCCCTCTGGCCATTTGCTACTGAGAACCAAAGAGGGGAACAGTGCTAGGAGAATAAGGCCAAGTCATCGGCCAAGTTTCCCTTGCTGCTGGGCCCGTGGTCCTGGAGGAAGGATGGACCCGGCCCCTCCAGACCCCTTGGCCTGGCACCAGCAGAGATGAGGTCAGCCCGCAGCTGCGAGAGCCAGGAGGGGCCTGAGCCCACACAGCCCAAGCAACTCCACTGTGGTCAGAAAGGAATGTCAGAAATGAGCTGAGAGGCAAATAAAAAACTTCCAAGGCTGTAATTTCAAAGGAAAAACAGCAAGGGGCCTGTGCAGAGAGGTGCCTCTGGGTTTTAGGAATGGTCTTTCATTCAGGAGACAAGGGGGATAGACTAGGGGAGGGAAGGAGAGAGAAGGCTGGGGAGGCTCTCCTGAACCAGAGCCTCTGCCCCTAGACCCCAAAACCAGAACTTCGTGCCCCATGAGATCCCAGAAGGATCTCAGAGACAAACCTTCCAGGCCAGATTTTTGGTAAAGACTGGACAATGAGGATCAGAGGGGGTCAGGCCCCATTGCACACAGATGATCCAGTCAAAACCTAGGCCCCGGGATCCTAGCTTTCTAGGCATATGTCCCTGGGATCACCTGCCCCTCTGTGCCCCAGCAGGGTACACTCCCAACCCCACTCCATCTGCAGTCTTAGAGACTAGAGGAGGAAGGGGGTGCCCCACCATTGCTCCCCAGTCCCTGACTCAAATCTGATCTAAAGATTCTAAAACACTGACCTGACCTGTCACTCTCTAGCTAAACCCACTGGCTACAGGATTAAGTCGAACCTCCTCAGAAGGCCCACAAGGACCTCCCATGATCAGCTTGTCTCTCTAGCCTCAGCCACCATTCCATACTTACTGGAGTTTCCTAGATGCTTCCCTCTTTCCTGCCTCCAGGCCTTTGCACATGCTGTTTCCCCTTGCCTGGAGAGCCCTCCTGTCCTCAGCTTCGCCAGGCCACAGATTGGACATCAGTTCACCTAGGTAGCCTTTCTGCACCCCTGTTCCCAAGTCTATGCTTCCCCCAGACTCTGATCTCCTTGGGGTAGGGGGTGGTCCAGGCAATGCTGTATTCATGCCTGCACCACACACATGGTTCTGCACCTGAATATTGCAAGCAACTTAATACATACTAGAAATGAATGTCCTGGATGAAGAGACTGAATGAGGCTCTGGAAATAGCCTACGAGTGGATCTGGGCCTAGCAGGACTATCCTGGGACAAAGGGGCCCATGCTCAGAGTCAGGTCCTGCTTCTTCTGAACACTGGCTTCAGAGGAAGACATACCACTGGTCTCAATGTTCAGTGTCAGAGCTCAGAGATCAGCCATGCCGCCAGGGGGTTGGGAAGGAAGAGTAAACCACTGATAGGCCTGAGCCCATGCCTGGCACTGTGCTAATGCTCCACACACAACATTGTGCTCAATCCTCACAACAGTGTTGGGATGGGGAGTAGTATTCCCATTCCACAGATGAGGCAAACAAAGCTCAGAGAGGTTAAGTAGCCAGCCAAAGGCCACACAGCAAAGGCACCTGAAGAACCAGAAGTTAAGGCACTGAGGGAAGGGAGTGAGGAGAGCACTCTACTTCTGTTGGACTCTGCAACTCAAGTTCTCTTCCCTGTATCCACCCCCAGCCCAGCAAAGCCTTTATTTTGGGGGTCAGGCCCCTGAATCTCAGGCAAAGACTTGTCCAAAGTCACAGGGTCTGAACAAGGCCTCCTGAATCTTGTTCTAGTACTGAGGTCACCTTTCTCCAGCTGGGGCACCCATCACTGGGCTGCAGAGCCCCCACCCCAAGCCCAGCCACCCACATCAGCTAAACACCCAGCCAGAACAGAGGAGAGAGTATATGGCCAGGATATCCATGCCAGTTTACAATAAGATTCTTTCTCTTATGGCCTCAGTTTCCCCTTCTGAAAAATAGGCAGAGTCGCACTGCCTAATAGAAACTGAACCTTTTGCAAAAGCATCTTGAGATATTAAAAAAAAAAAGAAGTCAAAAGAAAATCATTTAGCCCTGGGCTTTGTGATTCATCCCAGATTGCAAGTCCTGCCAAGGTCTCACTCAGACCCACCTACTTACTCACCACCTCCCACCCCATTATAACCTCCTGGTACCCCTTGTGATAAAGGAAGGACCCCAGCACTGCTCGCATCCCTGACTCAAAACACTGCTCCCCGCACCCCAGCCTTCTGAGGCCCATGAGCTCCCTGAGCTGCAGTCACAGAGAACTTTCTCATCAGGGAGGTAACAGGTCACAGCAGCGAAGAGCACTGGATTTGGAGTCAGAATGACCCAGGTTCAGATTCTGGTTCTGTGGCCTTGGGGAAGTTACAAAACCTCTCTGAGGCTCCATTTCCCTGTCTGTGGAACAGGGATGACAACGGGCCTACCTCACAAGTCATTAGAGGATGAAGTGCCTCACCAGTTTCTAGCACTCAGTGACTGGCTGCTGTTACTAAAGTCCATACTGTGTGATAACAGCTCTCCATTGCCATGGGCTGAGACTCCAGAGATCTCCAGAAGGGATGATGCTCTGGGACATGTCCCCCATCCTGCCACTCCCCTGCCCCTCACCACCGCAGGCCATAGTCATTCTAAGGCACCGTGGGTCTAGGACCAGAGGCACCTGGATTCCAGCAGTCTCACCACAAACATGGAGCCCAGAAAAACAGGCACTTCAGAGACACATAGGGCCCAGCTGGGGTCCCATAGACATTCAGTTCATGCTGAACATCCAAAGTACAGAGTTTGACCTGGAAGAAGTCACCAGGGACCTAGCAGTCTATTCTTGCTTCCAGTTACCAAAGTATTCCAGAAAGAAAGGCTTACTTGCTCCCATTGCTTAAAAGTCCCCACAACGTGCCTAGACCAGAGATGGCAAGAGATATCCATTCCATCAATTACTGATGAACTATCAGTGAGCGCTATGTGGGGAAGGATTCTGAGGTTCTGTCTCAGCTGGGCAGGAAAGAGCATAGCGATCAATCCATACCGTTTGCCAGGGGCTTGCCAGGGAAGTGTCAGTACACATTCTGTGTGTTTGTCACTCCCGCTCTGTACCTCCCTTGACTATATGTTCCCAGAAAGCAGAAGCTGAGCCTGATTTAACTCTGTACTGTGAAGTGTTCAGCATAGCACTGAGCCTAGAGAGAGTAGGAATCCAGTGAATGTTTACTCTTGCAATCCTTACGGTTTGAAAGTTCTCCTTATTATCTAGCTAAAATGTCTCTTGCTACAGTAGGAACTTGTTCTTCGTGGAATAATATATTGAGGGTTCCAGCCAAGTTCCCGACTGTGTTTTTACTCAACCCCAACTCCTGATCCTCTTCCCCACTGCCCTGCACTTTGACAGGAAAAGAATGCTCACCGGGGCGGTGGAGTGGGAGGAACCAGAGGGTAAGGCCTGTCGAACACGTGCATGTGGTAGGCCGGCGGGGAATAAACAGGCGGGGGCTCTTCATCTGAGCTGTCAGGTTCCAAAGTCCTTTCCAAGATCTATATCAGAGACAATAAAGAAAAAAATATTAGCGATCCTACCTTGAATTTAGAGAACATTCAGACAAAATCAAGTGTGGGCGAAGATGTGTGGTAAGAAAATTATGTTGCTGTTGGGAGTGTAAATTGATACAACTGCCACTTTACAAAACTGTTTTGGCTTTATACAGTGAAACTAAACACACGGCTACTTCTGACCCTACAATTCCAACATACTCAACAGACATGAAAGCACATGTCCCCAAGAAGAATGCTCAGAGAAGCATTATCCATCCAAGGAAGTATCAAAAACAAGCGAAACAAATCACAGTGGTAGAAGTCGGAGCAGCGTGACCTCTGTGGGTGTGGGGAAGTTCAGGGAAGGGGCACCGGGGGGATTTCAAGTTCTGTTGATGTTAATTGATGTGGGTGCTGGTGAATCTCACTGAGCTGCACACCTGTAGTCTGCATATGCTTCTATGTGTCGCTTTTGATAAATAACTATTATTCATAACTTCCTTTAAAACACCTCCACATGGATTATCTCACCTTAACCTCAAACAACTTGGCAAGGTATGATATGGATCACATCCCCATTTTACAGACAAGGAAACTGAGGCCCAGGCTGACTAAGTGACATGGCAAAAGCCACACACTGTGTTTAAAACCAAGTCTTCAACCTGGATGTAGTCTCCACAACAAGGGTCCGTCCTTCAGGCACAGTGCCGGCACACCATGTTGGATTCTCGGGGAGACAGTGGCAAGGGGGCCACCCATGATGCCTCTCCCTCTTGGACTCCTCTCTTCATCCAGCAGCCAGAAAGAGGGGCAGGGGGAGGCCAAGGGCTGGGCAGAGCCCTGGGTTTCTGCTGCACAGACTGCCCTGGACTCTGCCCCACAGATCCACAGAGCCACCAACCAAGAGATCTCAGGTCACTGGGAGGCAACCACCCTGCGCCTTAGCCTCCCTCTCTCCTCCCCTCCTCCTTGGTCCCGTTCCTATCTCTCCCAAGACCAAGAAACATGGGGAGGGCTCACAGGACGTCAGTGGGCTCGAGTCCCTAGACCTCACGTTTTCACCCTAAGTGAATTTGTAGAAGTCACTGCTAAACTGTCTCTGCAAGCCAGGGCCAGACCGGGCTGTGCTGGCCCATCCCTGCCCCATCCCTGCCCCGAGCCCAGCCAGTGCCCAGGAATGCAGACTCTCGCAGGGACACCCTGGTGAGTGGACAGGTGGGCGAGTGAGCAAGCACATGAGTACACACACGCTCATGCATGCAAGCACAGACACGCTGCCACAATTTGTGTACACACAGCCAGCCTGACCCAAGGAGGCCTCCCACCTGGAATGCACTGACATTCTTTCCTTTGAGGCAGAAAGTATTTAAACAGATGCTTTTGCTGAAAAAGAAGAATGTAGCTGCTTTGGGGCCACTGCTCTGCTTACCGCTAATTTCCACATGAAGAGAGAAAGAGTGCAGGGTAAGCTCCAGTCCAGTTCGCTGGCAAAACCTCCAGTGCCTGGCACAGGACGGCAGCTCTGTGACCATCTGGTGCCCCCACAGAGTGCTAGTGCCACCCTATAGCCCCCATGGCCCGTCCCCCAGACCCTGCTGCTCTGAGGGACAGGGTTTCAGGCCAGGGTCTGGGGCCAGCTCCTGGAGACTGAGCCTCTCCTTCCTCAGTGGTTGGCCTGTCCCGCCCCCATGGGGGCAGCATGAGGGAGATGAATTAGGAGGGGAGAGCTGAGTAGGAACTATTCCCTGAAGGAAACCAGCTGGGCTTCCTGTGACTGTGGCCTGAGCAGGGAGCCCCCAGACTCAAGGAGCTCAGGCCTCCGTGGCGCTCCTGCTCTTCACTGCAGCCTCCTGGGGCTGCAAGAACCAGACATTCATCAGAGGCTCCTGCAGCAAAATGAGGAATTGCCAAGGACGTGGGCTGAGGGCCAGGCACGCTCTGGAAAGGCTGATCCCGGGTCTCCAGGGAGAGTCACCCCAGCCATGTTTCTGGCTTTCCTCTGCCTCTCTCTCCCCAGCCCCACCAGCCACAGTGAGTTGTTCTTCTGGCTCTAAAGGTGCTGAACTTTCGGCTCTGTGGCCTCCTGGCTTAACTCAGGGCGGGTGACAGATGCCTGCCAGGTACTCAAGGGGCCAGGGCCTGAGCCATTTCTCTGACAGGAGGTATTTCTCTGTGTCAAGGATACCCCTCAGGCCAGCCCACCAGCCATCAGCCCCCAGAGAGGGGGCTTTTTTCCAGTTAGCAGTTATTGTCATCCCAGCTGCTGCTCATAAATTTTCCAAAGCACTTTCCACTGGCTCAGGAACTGCCTGCCATGGGCCCAAGCAAAGCTCCAAAGGTGGGGGGCTGGAGAATCAGCCAAGGAGGGATGCTGAGAAGGCTCAGTCTGGAAAGCAAAAGTCTTAGAAAAACAGAAGTACAGACCTATCTAGGGGACGGTAAGCCTTGCAGAGATTCACAGGGCTGTGGGTGCTGCGGACAAAGAAGGAAATCTTATCCTACATCCAGACTGCAAAACAAATGAGAATGTAGAAGGGGCCAGAGTTTACAGGGTTTCCTTCCAGCTCACACTTAAAGGATGTATCTGCACACACACACACGCACACACTCACTCTTCCTTTCCACAAAGAGGATCTAGGTTTTTCGAAACCCCTTCCACTGGCTAATCCAGGCAGATCAAGGAACTGGTTTCCCAGGGAAAGAGACTGAAGAAAGCTCTACAAAGACAGTGGCAACATTTATTCATTCAACAAACATCACCTGAGTGCCTGCTATGCCAGGACTGTCCTGAGTGCTGCAGGTAACACAGGGATGAGCCAGATGTCATTGCCCAGAGAGTTTCTCCTCCACCTGGAGAGAGAAACCCCAAGCAGCACCCACTAAGGGAGAAGAGCAAGTGGGCCTCACCCTGCAGGACGAACTCCTCCAATTGATGAACAATGGCTGCCTGTGGGTTGTGTTGAAAAGACTCTGAGGCTCTATCTAGATCTAGGATTTCTCTGCATGAGATAATAATAATGCCATCTCACACAGTTTGTGAGGATTTAAAGAGATGATAAATCTAAAGCACAGAGGATGCTGCCTGGGCCAGGTTGGGGCTCAATTGAAGAGCAGTTAAATCCATGTGCTGGGTCCTTCTGTCTTGTCCATGGCTGCTTGTCCCAGATGCTCCTAAAGGTGGTGACCCTCTCACCAAAAGACTGTGTGCCCCTTCAGAGATCAGTACTGCAGGTCCTGTAGAGACTGGGGAGGGTTAAATGTGTACTGACTTCTTGAATGGGGCCAGGGAGACTGGCCTTGTCCAGCAGGTGGGCCCTGATGCAGTGGGATATCCCCTTCTCCCCCAGCCACGTCCCCAGAGACAGAAGAGCACTGCCTGAGTATTGCTTGAGACCATCAGGGCTTCCATCTCGCCCATCATAGCACTTACCACTCCAGCCTGTCTGCCTGACTCTTGTGAGCTCTGTGAGGGCAGAAACTTTGACTTGGCCAAAGTGGATACCCAGAAGTTCAAAGGAGCCTTTCTTGAAAAATACAACTGGACAGCTCCAGCCTGCAACTAGGATTCAGTATGTTGGGGTGGGACCCAGGTGTTTGCACTTTTAACAAGCTCCTTAATTCTGATGACCCTGACCCAGGGTCTAGTACCACTGCCTGCCTGGCCCACCAGCCGAGTAGATAGAGGCTTGTTGAATGACTGCATGATTCTGACCTTAAAATAGGATCACTGACTGACTTAGGTACAGTTTTCCTATGAGAAATAGGCTATTTGCTTATGAGAACTCAGACCTTTGAGAGGTTCAAAAGGCTTTGGATTCGCTGGTTAATTAACAGGGCTGCGCCCTACCTCCGGGGGGATGCTGTCCTCCGAGTCGGAGCTCTCCTCGTAGACGCTGCCGCCACCCCCGTCCAGGTTCATCTGCAGCAGCTGGTCGATGGTGGCGTCCACCGCGCCGCTGTTGGCGCGCAGCACGCACTCGATGATGTCGTGGTCCATGTTGGGGAACATGGTCTTGAAGTCGTCCATGGCCTGGTTGAACTCGAGGCGGCGCACCTGGCGGGCGGGCCGGCTGTTGTTGAGCTCCTGCGAGGCGGCCGCCGCGCTGCCCCCGGCCCCGCGCGCCCCGCCAGAGCCGCCCCCGCTGCTCCCGCTGCTGCTCCGGCGGAACAGGCTGGTCATTTTGCCGAGCCGCTGGGGAAGAATGTTTCCCGCCGGCGCGAGCGCCTTCCTTGGGCCCAGAGGTGGCCGCCCACGCAGCGGCTGGGAACGCTCACTCCGGCCTCCCCCGGCCCCTGGGCGGCCAGGCGGGGACAGGAGCGGCGGGGTCGCTGGGTCAGGAGTCTAGGGCGCAGGCCCACGGGCGGCCGTCGGCAAATGGTCCTCGTGGGGTGGCGGCATCCGGGCCCGGGCAGCTGGTCATCCACACCCCCAGGGCATCCTGGGCCTGCTCCACGCACGGTCCCACCTGAAACGGAAGGAGACAGTCCGGGTAGGAGTGCATCAAACTTAAGCCCATGGTGGTGGCCCATGGAATTAGGGTAGCCCTGCCATGCCCTTGGAAGGACTGCTTCATTGCGCTTTCCCCCAGGCTGCAATAATTAAACGGCCACAGTTCTTTAATAACATGGGAGGGGCCACCAGTCAGCCAGGGGTTACTCTGTGCCAGGCATCATCCTAAGTGTTTTCTGTGCACTAACTCATGACACCATCACAAGGAAGGCACTACTATATCCATTTGGCAGATGGGAAAACTAAGGCATAGATGCTGAGGACCTGGAGCGGCTGCGATTTGAACCCAGGAGCATGACGCTTGAGTCACTGGTCTCAACCACTACAGGCACTGTCAAGGTGCCCTGAGGACCTGAGTGAGGCAGGAAGGGCTCTGTTCAGACCACATCATGCCCCTCTGGTCTCCAGCGCCATCCAGTCCTTGCTTCCCTAATCTTCCCACTTCACAGTCCCAACATCATGGGCCCACCATCATGGCCTCCAGTTTGTGCAGAGCTCCATTAAATCTGCAACAGAAACCCATCCAGCCCACCCAGAACCAGGCATGTAAACCACTGGCCAAGGTCACACATTCTGTTAGCATAGTCAACTGAGAGTTGAATGTGTCTAAAATGTCAAATTCTGACTTTCTCATGCTTATCCCAAGACTTACAGTAATTTTGTTAACTGTAGGAAAACAGCAGCTTTATTTGAAGGGACTGTTTCATCAAAGGATATTTCTTATGTTTGATGAAACAGGTGCATACCTGTTTTCCCTTTTCTGAGACTTGGGGCCATAACCTTAACAGCTGATAAAGAAACATTCATGTGAGCAAAGCAACGTGATCATCTGCCTGGCCATGAGCTCAACAGTCAAATAAATGATGATGTAAGGAAGAAGAAACCAGAAGGGATGCAGAAGATGTACCCTGCCTGACCCTGGTTCACTCTGTCCCTTTAGGGCTGTCCCTCCTAGGTAAAACAGGACCTCATACTGTCCCCCTAGTGCCTGCCAGTGCCATCATGCTGAGACTCTAATCTCATTCAAACCTCCACCTCCACAGAGGGATGTGGAAATTGTCTGGAATTCCTGCTTTGGAGCTTGCGGGGAAGGTATCTGCCTAGTCGCAGGTAAGCAGGCTGCATGCAAGAATGGGAAACTAGAAGCACATGGGGTCCATGCAGCCCCTGGACACTGATATTAAAGAATTATAATCCCCTCCTGCCCACGGAGAAAACCTGTTAACACTCTGGGGTATCTACATCTAGATACTTTTTCTATGCATACACTACCATATGCATGAATTTATTTTACTGAAATATGATCAAATCATAAATTCTACTATGCAACTTATTTCTTCCACTTAATAATTTATTGTAGCGATCTTCCCATATCAGAACATATAGATCTACTTCATCATTTTTAAGGCCTGAGTTGTATTCTGTTGACTGGGTGAAGCATGATTTATTATTCATCTTCCTCCACCCTGCCTCTTCCCAGATGAGCAACTCAAAGCCCAGAGAGGCCAAAGTTATTTCACAAGACACAGAGGGGTGAATGCAAATGATCAGTCTAAGAATTCTGTTACGGAAATGAACACAGGAAGGTAGCCAAGTATGACATGGCCTCCCAGAGCTGGCGTTAGATCTCCCAGCCTCCCACACCCACTCCCGCCCCTCAACTCTGACACATAGGCAGGTCCAAGGGTGCTGCTCTGCCTCTGCCAGAATGCTCTCCAAGGCGGGGCTCCACCCGGAGCAGCTCTCTCTGTCCTGGACTCTCAAGACCCGCCTGAAGCCCCTGACAAGGACCTCAGGGCCAGGAGTCCTGGGCTGTCACCTGCCGTCCTGGTGTTCTCACACATAAGGGTCAGTGCCTTGTACTAATGCCCTCTGGAGTAAAGCCAACTTCTCCCCACCCCTCAAATAATTTAGTGAGAGAGATGGTGGCTGTTTAAGTGAGATGGAGAAAGAAGCCAAGACCTGATCCACCCCTGGCAGAGGAAGAAGATGATGGGGCCTGCATTTCTCTGTAAAAGCCTTTAGGATGGGTCGGGAAGGCTCTGGGCCTTTCTGAGTGCTGGGGAGCCCCGAGGAGGGGTTCTCCCACTCATACCGTTTACAGTAAGTACACTGGCTCAGACCCAGGCTGCAGTTCCTGCTCTGCCATTTCCCAGCTGTGGGCCTCCTGCAGTCTCCTCTCCTCTTTGTGCTCAATGCCCTCACCTATACGTACAGGGCTTCAATGAGAATGTAACAAAGAATCCTCAGCACAATGCCTGGAGTGGGGTTGGCTGCATGACTGCTGCAGCCATCGGCCCAGAAGGCTGGGAAAAGGCAGAAGCAGCCAGTACACCAGCCTAGCTGCTACCTGGAGTGGATGGGTGGGGTAGTCTAGGGAATCCTTCCCCACAATTTGGTTGGCAACCCCTAGAATTCCTTCAGCCCACTGGGAAGGCCTCTCAAGGGCTGCCCCCTTTCCCCTTTGCTAAGCTCAAGTACAAGTCTGAGTCCAGGGTGGAGATGTGGCTTGTGCGGCTGGGAGCTGGGAGGATTGTCCTCAGGGTCAGTCATCTGTGCCAGGCTGCTTCGGCAACCAGCGTGGCTCAAATGCAAAGGAATTTAAAACACGTGAAAGAATTAAGGCAGGCAATTTAGGTTTACAGGTTTGTGCCAGGCACTTTCACATTTAATCTTTATTAAAACTCTAGAGATAGGTGTTATCATCTCCGTGTCATAGCTGTGGAAACAAGTTCAGAGAAGTTAGATAGTTTGCACAAAGTCACACAGCCAATAAGTAGAGAGGCTGGAATTAGTAACCCACTTCCTAAGGGCCTAAAATGCCAAGTCAGGTTTGCAGGGCACAGAGCCAAGTAGCCTCAGAAATGCAGGTATATGTGCCCCAGGCTTAGGAGACTGGGCACAGCCTGGCTGACTTTCCAGCAGGAGGAATGTGACCCGGACAGCACCAGGGAAGGGAGGGAAGAAGGAGTGTCTGTTGGCTCTGCCCCAGAGCTGGCTCTGTGACCTTGGAGAATCCACCCACCTCTCTGAACCCTAGCTGCTAGGAGCTGGCAGGGACACAGAGGGAGATAACCCCTGACTGGCTTCTGAAAAAGGAAGTGAATCAAACTCACTGAGCCCATGTAGATGTCTTGGAAGACGACTCAAAGGCTCTCCTGAGCACACGGTTGTGAGCAACCTGGGGATTGGGAAGCAGAAATCCTACACCTGTCCTCCCTGAGATCCCAGGGAACCAGGCCTTCTACTTCCCCATAAAGGAATCCAGGCCTGACAGGCAAATGGCCAACCCTCACTCTAAATGTTAGCAGACAGCCAATGCCTGAGTCACTCCCAGCCCAGCCTGGGGAGGTGGGCAAGCTGCCTGAGTGTTGTTCTCCCAACCTTGCCCAAGGTCATCCCAGCCAGGATCCGCAGGGCCAGGTAGGAACTACATGGGGGTTGTGAAAGCCCAGGAGCCTGTTCTGAATTTCCATTCTGACTGGGCCTATTAAGGTTGTGTGACTTGAAGAAATTATTTCACTTCTCTGAACCTCAGCTTCCTTGTTTGTAAAAATAGGGGTACTACCTACCTGAAAGGGGTGTTGGGACAGAACTTATATGGGTGTCTGGGACACAACACCCAAAGAGACAGGTTGGTGTGGCCTTGGGCACAGGCCCTGACCCTTCTCCTGGGCTACACTCATGCCCAAGTGATCCTAGCCAGTCCCATGGCTTTAAATACCACCTGCACACTGAACATGGGCTCCGTTTTCTCTGCCTGAGGTTTCTTGGGAACAGGCCCTTCAGTTCCACACTTGCACATCCAACCTGCCGCCCTCACTTGAATGTCCAGTACAACTCCTCCAACCTCAGGTTTCCATCCAGCCCACCTTGCTCCTCTTACCTTCTCCAGCTTAATCAATGGCAATTCCTCATGACCAGGCCAAAAGCCTGGGAGTTGTCCTTGAGTGCATGCATCCTCTTACACTCCACATCCATCCCAGCAAAGCCAGGCTTCCCTCTCAGTGACTCCAGAATCAGGCCACACCTCACCACTGCCACTGCCACTACCTCTTCGCTGGCTCCTTGCCCCCCTGATTGCCTCCTTACAGACTACTCATCAGGATTATGTCATTTCTCTGCTCCAAACCCCCAATGGCTCCTTATGTCCTCAGAACACAACCCAGAGCCATATCATGCCCACCAGGCCCCACCTGGTCCAACCTATGCCACCTCTCTGACTCTGCCATCAAACCATACACGTGCACACATGCAGACCCTCACTCTCTCCTGCTGTCCTGGATCCTTGCTAGTCCACCCACAAGCCATGCATGCTCCCATCCAGGGGCCTCTGAACTTACTCTTTCTACTGCACTGCCGGCCATGTTCCTCTCCCAAATATCTACACACTCCCTCCCTCCCTTCCTTCCAACCTCTACTCAAGCATTGCCTCATCAGAGAGGCACCATCCCCTCACCCTTTACTCTGCTTTGTTTTCCTCATGAAACAGGCAACCTGAGAGATTATATATTTGCTTGTCATTGACCACCTTCTCACTCAAATATTAGCTCCATGAAGGCGAGGCCTTTGCTTTATTCACTGTGGTGTGCTCCCAGTGCCTGAAACAGAGCCTGGCTCTATAGATTTGTTAGGTGGATAAGCAAAGAAGAGAGGAAAAACTGCAGGAGCACAATGCCTGTGGGCTATTTTCCCTTCCCTTCCTCCTCAGGCTCATAGTAATGGAGTTGGGGGCCTTTTCACTACCAAAGCCCTTTCTTCTCTCTGATCTCATTTAGTCCTTTCAAGAAATCCATCATTCATTTAGGGCCATGCATGATTATCCCACTTCATAGACAAAGCATCCGAGGCCAAGCAGTCAATGATATGGCTAAGGTCCCACGAGCCTCCTGCCCCCTGGCCTGCAGGCCTCCTCCATGGTGCACAAGGCCGATGGCAGGCTAAGTCCCCTCTTCA